GGGAAGGGCGGTGCCGGCCGTGGCTCGGCGCCATCTTGAGAGCGGCGGCGCCGCCATGATGGGAGCGGCGGGTCTCTGCTGGGGCGCTCGCCTCAGTCGTGCCGTCCCCTCACAGGTCGAGTGTGTCTGGGGACGCCCTCATTTTGAGGCGGCAACTCTCTGTGGAGGCGAAATCCAAATTGTTACACGGGCAGCCGCCTGGATCCCTCACCTCTGCCCCAAGGCCACCAGTGCTGAGGCGACAGGGACGGCAGGAGCCAGGCGAGCGGCCACTTGGCCTCCTCCACCCTCAGCAGCTCCCAGCCACGGGCCTTCTGCCACCCCAACAGCTGACTCACGACCGGCCCGCGCCCCACAAAGCTCTGAGTTGGCTCCAAAAATGTAAATCCGCCCTGCAAGGAGCCGCGAGGCACAGGAGTGACTCAGCGAGTGAGCAGGGAGCAAAGGGAGCCCCACCGGTTTGGTGGGACACCCCATAGGGCTGTTGTTCAGCCCCAGGGGCAATCGCTGCACTAACTCCCTGGTTTTGCAGGGGAGGCAGCGGAGCATTTGGGAGAACGACCCTTTCCCGGTTCACACCGTGGGTTAGAAGCAGCCAGGGCGCGAAAGACAGGACGCTTGTGAGCACGGACTGAGTTGGTGCTAACAATGGGGCTGCAGATACCACCCCCTTCCCTCCAGGAAAACCGTAAGGATAAACTTGTCAGCTTCAGGTTCACTGCTGTGTATGGAACGATCATCAATCTGGGCTCTAACCAAGCTATTCTAACTTTGGCTGCGGGTGTGAGATACGATCCTTCGCTTTGCTGATGCACAGAGGGCTGTGCAGAAGTCATCCAGGGCTGCTGTGAGCACAGCCATTGCACACAGCGACGTCCAAGGGGAGCAGCTGGCTCAGCACTGTTACTATTAGCTCCTCATCCCAAATCTCAAGTACAGACAGGACCCGAGTGCTGGAATTTCCAGTTATGTGTGTGCTTTGGGAATTTTGTTCATAGAAAATATGTTTTAAAGATGACCCACAAAGGAAGATGAATGGGTTGCTGCTTTACTCCTGCTTAATTGTTGCCATTTAAGGCCATGAATTAGATTAGGGGTAGATTGGGGGTTTCTCTTAGAAATAGCAAGTACCTCATGTCTTGATTACCTATTTTGCTTCTAGGCCTGTGAGAAGGCTCTGGAATTGAAGAGGAAAACCCTTCTTAGCCCTTAGATGAGGGAGAGCCTCGGTAAGAGAACCTGCTTGGTTTGTCATCTGTTTTACTTAAATAGAAGGTAATGACAAATCTGGAGGCCCTTCAGTCAAGACCGACTTGTTTGACATCTGGGAAAAATACCAACCTGACATATTTGCAGTCATCAGGGAAAGCGGAGAGGTGGAGGAGACCTGCATTTCCAAGGCAAATAGTAAATAAAATCATGAGCAAGGCCCATAAGCAGAGTAAAAGTCCTGCCCAGAGTGCCAGATCAGCTGGAGCAGCCTGTATTAGGACTAGCCAAAGGTTCCCTCCAGCCCTGGGGCATACATGGACCAGACAGCAGTTGACAACGCTGAATAAGAACTGGGAACAGAGATAGGTGTAAGAGAACCTCCCGAGGAGAAACCAGACTCGCAGCAGTTCATAGAGCTGCACTTGGACTCATAATCCACCAAATAATGAGCAGTGAGCAATGTGGCGATGTAGATAAAACATGGAGGCTGAACACAAGGCAGCAGCAGGACATCAGGTGGGTGGTAAAGGAGGAAGACAACGAACACCTGCACCAAGCTCTGGCATTTCTCTTGATGGTTGCTGCGAGGTGGCCAGCCAGTGAGAGGAGAAACCCTTCCTGGTGTGCCTTGTTCAGGAATGCTCTTACCAATGTGGGCACTTGGGAGCCTTCTGTGAAGATGGGTTCAGTTCAGGGCTGGGCCATCTCAGGGCAGACTTTGTTCATCTTATGACTAATACACGGTTTTCTTAGTCCAAAGAAGGCAGGCACATACCATGCTGTCCCAGTCCGGGAGGGCAAACAAACAAATTAATGCTTGTATCAAGATATTTTGTTCTGTATAGGACAAAATATCTTAACTGTTCAAGGCCAGACTGTTCTGCGGATTTTATATTTTTCCCTCTGGAAAGTCTTGCATCATTTCACTCCTCTGTTTCTTCTTAAAACTGATACAGTCTGGACATCTCATCTTTTTGTCAGCATGACTAAACCCCAGCTGGACTACAGTGGCCAAAACACTTGGTATGCTTGGGTGAACTGCTAGCTCCACCGCTGTAAGTGATTTTCAATACTTGATACAGTTTAATACTGTAAGGCCTGCTAAAGTAGATTACAGATGGGTATAATACAAGTCAGGGCAGGCTCCAGGTCAGCAATCCCTCGCAAAGACCAGCTTCAAAGACCAGGACTCCTCCTGCCCCAAGCCCAGCTGATACCCACAGTCCCGTCCCTGAACTGATACCCCAGAAATCCCATTTTCTGAAGGCTATGCTCTGCACCCTCAGAGGGGACTTCTGCGAGGAGGCCACTTTTGTTTGAACACTCTGGGATTTCCTGGGACTTTTGCTTGCAGCCAGCTGGCACCTCTCCTGAAGCAGTACACACTCGCAAGGGAGAGAACAGGGGCCCCCCAGCCAGGGACTGTTTCTGGTCAACACTCGCTGACAGGGCTGAGAGACAATGAGGCCCTTCAGGGCTAAATCCTAAGAGTCACAGCCGTCTCCTGTGCCAAGGACATCACTAATTCCTGGCGGTGGCTTGATTCCATAAGCAGCTCAGTGAGGTGACTTTCCAGGTCACCAGCTAATTGCAGGTGAAGTGCCAGTGACTGTCTCCAGCAGGAGAGAAAGTTGGGAGCTCTGGGGAAAGAAAGGGTGTAAAACGTGTTTGCTCAGCTCCTTTGAGCTGAGCCAGCTCCCCCTGGGCAGCTAAGGGGAGGTGAGAAAGGGCTGGGTGGCTTGCAAAAAGCTGAGTCGCGCAGTCTCTGCAGCCTGGATGATCTTGGGACGCCACCACCACTGAGACAGACAGGAGGATGCGCTCAGCCTGGCCCTTGGGTGGTCCTTTTAAATCTCCTGGTCTCCCCACAACCCCTGGCTATTTGTGTGCTGAAGAGGAGGAGGAGGAGGTAGGCAGGGGACTGAATATTCCCTACACATCTTCTCCTTTGAGTCTTGCCCATGGCTGGTGGCTTCAAGAGCCAGCACATGACTAAACCAACTCCCCTACTGCCCTTCCTCTGAGGGGCCCCTCAGTATTTCCCCACCTCTGTGAAATGGTGCGGGGCGAACGGAGCTCTCCGAAGCACCGTGATGGAGAAACCGTGGTTAAAAATCAATCCCCCTTCTTCCAGCGCCTGGCGTTCCTGAGAGGAAACCACCCTGGGCTCCCCCCTGCTCGCTGGAGTTGGGAGCAGTGAGTAATGCTCACAGGCTTCCCTGCCCGGCACCACATTCTTTTCTCCAGCATGTAATGGCCCAGAGGAGGAATAAACTGAGCTTTGCTGGAGCAGCCTGCAGAGTAGCTGTGCACGCCACAGCCTTGCACCACAGAGGCATCGGGAAGGGCTGTGAAAGGCTCAGCCTCATTTTACTGGGGGGGGGG